ATATCCCTTGCCAAGTCCTGTTCCATCAGTGCTTTGACTTTCTTGATCCCATCCATACACATCTGAACCATATTCCTGTACTCTCCCCAGGTCACCTGTCCTTGTTCCCACTGACTGTGCATTTCTTTCTTACTCCTCAGTTTGAGGAGCAGATCCTTGCTAATCCATGCTAGTATCCGGCCAGCCTTGCTTGATTGGGATGGAGAGCCCTGCGCTCTAAGAAAAGTGTCCTTCAAGAGCTGCCAGCTCTGGTCAGCTCCTTTGTCCCCAAGGACAGTTTCCCTGGGGGATCTCATTCACCAACTCCTTAAACATCTGGAAATTCACTCTTCCAAAATTCAGGGTCCTGACTTGGTGCCTCACCAGGCCCACACACCTTGAGATCACAACCAGGGCATAGTTGCTACAGCCCAGGCTGCCTCCAAACTTAACCTCTCTAATGAGCTCAGCATCTTAAATAATGAGCTTGAGTCAAATACCAAGTCATTGGTATTTGACTCATAAAGACCCAGAACAACATACTACAGCTGTGAAACCAGAAAATACTTTCCAAGATACTCTAAACTATCAGCAGACATCACTTCATATAATGAAAGCTGAATTGTTAGCACAGCAACCTCTGGTGGCATAATTGCATGATGCCATAATAGTATAACCTGACCTCATAAAAATTATGTGATAAACGGGTTTATATAAAGTAAAATCTTTATAGAGTTGAGTCCTCACCATAGGTAAGGCTACAATATAAATCAGAAAAATATATGGTTTTTTACCTTCATTTTCTTAAAAAAAAAAAAAATTAAAAGAGCTTAAGGTAGAGTACACTCGAGTTCTTTAAATTTTATATCTGAAGTAAAACATAAAGTTTATAATCTGTTCATTACTTAAGGGCTGTGATATGTTGTGGCTAGGTTAAGAGTTTACTTGGTTAAAAAACAGTGTTCAGCACTACTGACTCATAATTTTATCATGAATCATCGTTTCTAAAACAACTCATATGCTAGAATTGGAGTTTTGGATGACGAACTCAATTTATAGCTCTAAGATCATGAGGAAGATTCAGAAATATGGAAAGAAGACATGCATTCTAAACAACAAAGGCAATGTCTTAAAAGTTAAGTTCTACTTATGAAAGTCTGGGCTAACAACACTTTTTTTAAATATAAAATGAATAGTGGATCTTCCTATGTCCCTTCTTGATAGTTTTTTGTTTACATTTTAGCATTAGTGTTCAGAGACGGCAAGGAACAAACATAAATCTAAAGCAGCAAAGAAATGTAAAGTTTGCATTATAATCCTTTCCTTTGCCACAGATTTTAAAGTTGTAAGTCACAACTAGCCCTGCCTACACTATGCTTGACTTTTATTTCATCTTTGTAGGTGTTTTCCATTTACTATTTTTAAACATTTCCATTAGCTTTGTTTAGTATTCCAGCTAAACTTATAAGGGTTTCATTGTTATTTCTCACATCCCTGGACTTTTAAGAGTTGTGCTGAAAGTAAGGGTCAAGTTCATTTCTCCTTTTTGCTAAAGTTCGACAACCAACAGAATACATTTTGTTTCCATCAATAAAACACTTTTAGCTATAGAGGTTTGCAGACAGTGCTTTTAAGTCTTGCAGTAAATACACCCGTAGAATCAGTTCAAGGATAAATGCAGCTTTAGAGATGCTGCCTACTACCCAATAAGTGTAACGAGAGGACCATCTAGTGGCGACAACCACAATTCACACTCTGCTACTTTTAAGAAAAATGCACACTGTTAATCTATGCAAGTCACTGGTCAACTTTTCAGTCTTTGGCTTTTTTATTCCATAGTTTTAATAGCTTTAATTTAGGTTTTGACCTTCTATCATGAGAATAAATAAATGAGTTTGTTGATTTCCTTCATCTGTTCCTGTTATGAGAACATCTGTGTCAATTCTTCCATATGTGAAAATTGCTCATAGATCAAATCATTAATCTGAAGACACTAGCAAGAATGAAATTTAGCAACTAGGCTACAAAACAGCTTTCTTTACTTCACAATTCTCTCCACAGAGAAATCTATAAGAGCTTTTTTCTTAATACAAGAGACTAAAAATCAACAGTTGAGAAGTGACAGTTGTACCTTGTATGTTTTACATCTCCATCACATTTCAGCCAAAGAGATGTGCAGTTTAACCCTTTAAGAGCTGGAAATTTGGTTTCCTACAGTTCAGGATCCTGACTTAACTCTTCACCTGACCCATACACCTCAGGACTCCAAACACAATCCATTTTTCCTTTTGTCAGCGTTAACTCATATGGCTGGGCAGAATGAGCTTCTTTACCACTGAAGACATAGGATTAAAAGCTCCATAAAAAAGACCAAAAGCATAACCTTCATCAAGAGAAATCTGAGCAGGACTGAGCAACTTCATAGATCAAGTGCTCTGTGTCAACTCCTGCAGCATTCTTTGCTTCCTCAGACAAAATATCATGTTCCTGGGGGACCAACACACACCCTCCCCCCCAACACTCCCCCAGTGTGCTTTCCCTGTACTTATGCTTTCTTCTTGCTCAACTGCCATTCTCCTGTGTCTGCTTCAGTAGCTTTGTAAATATGACCTGTGAAGAGCCTTTTTTACCTTCATATCATTTCAAGGATGCTTGAGTATAGCAATGAGACACATACTAGCCACAGCAGTAACAGCAGGCAATAAATCCAAAAATTCTCCCTAACATTTTGTTAGTCTGCTTCCAGAGGGGGTGTAGAAGTTAGACTGTGAGCAAAGCAAGCTCACTGCTGCACGATTACAGCACCGCCACCATCATGAATTAACCATCACTGAAGGTGAGAAAGACTGTTAGCAGATGCCTGAAAAGAATTCCAGGGAAGCTAGCAGAAGGCTGATAGTAAAAAAAAATGCTAATTTATTTACAGACTCTCAGTGGCACCCCAGAACATCTGCCAAACATAGATACACATAGATAGCATGGCAGGCCAAACCCGGATAGGCATTTGTTTACTAAAATTAACTACTTCGTTCTGGTTCACTCAGGATGGTCTTGCAAGATGGAAATAAAACCACAATACTGTCACTCTTAAACCTCAAGGAGAGAACACGATATTAAAGATGATACTAAAAAAACCTGAAATAGTTTCACTGCACAAGATTAAAAGCACATCCTTGACAGGAAATCTAATCAAACAGTCCAGGAAAGCCACATAAAAAAGAGTATTCAGTGCAGGAAATCTACAAAATAAGAAGAATATTCTTTCATTTCTCAAAAAGAACTTTCACCAGTGTCCATTTTGCCAATTTCTCTGATGTTTCAATACATGCCTTAATAGCCTTCTATCAAGTACCTGAACATTCACTATAATTTTCCTAGACTTATGTCTTAAACAGAAAGCATCTTGATTTTACAATATGATGTATTATTCATTACATCATATAAATTTCTGCCTTCCTTGTTCATTTATGACTTGAGATCATTCTTTTTCCAACAGTAATAAACATACTTTTGTGAACTCAAACATGGGGAAGAAAAAAGGAAAAGGAAAGCTGCTTGACATGCTAACACAGAAGTGCTACTAGAAAACTAAGAAAAGTTTGCAGAACTTACCAGAGTTCCCTCTGCTGTTCTTGCTGCTTTGTCAGGATTGGTCCTCATTTTGACCATCCCACGTGTTGAAAAGTGTTTGGCTGGCTAAGTAGGTTCTAAGGTTAGCAGTGCCTTCTGTCTCCCTAGCTTGCAAATGCACCTTCTTCGTTACATTACTTGCATCCACCACAGCTCATGAGACAGGTCTGAGCTGGTGGTCAGACCTCTATTTGGACCTCCATGGTAAACAGACATGTATGTCAAAAATCCAGAGAGTTTATTCTGCAGAACTGCAGGGCACTTGTTTTATTTTTCCTGAAACATTCCAGACACTCACAATGCTTAGTTTATGATCCCTTATACATTTGTTACTGCAATTCCACTATGCCAGAAAGCACATTATTCCCTCTTCTCAAATTTAGGAACCTCCAAAATGTCTTTCTGCTGCTAACAGGAATATGCCCATGCCCTATACACTCCCTCCTCAAGACACTCATATCATTAGCACCTTCTCACCCACATGAGTTGACCATTTTCCCCAAGGTGGTTGTAAGAAATTAGTAAGTGAAAATCTTTTCAATCAGTACAAATTTTGGTCAGCTGAATTGAAGCCCAGGGACAAGGGTGAGCTTAGGGTAAGGCATTGTAGCATTATTACTAGAAGGTTATTACAGTCATAAAACTGAGGGACTGTCTGCACATATCTGCCATATTGACCCAGAAGACTTTCTGCCTTGGAAAGTGACTATCACTCTGCCAACAATTTAGGGACACTACTTTTGTAGATGACTGCCACACCCCAGTACTGTTGGGCAAACTTCACTTCTGAGCAGAAAGAGACGTTGTGCAAAGCAAATCTAAATGCTTCCACGTTGGAACACAAAAACATCCACAATTTCAAAAAAACTGATAGCTATTAAACTCACTGAAATCTACAAACACAGCATAAATATTATTGTCCGCTGTTACATTTTTCCAATAGAAGTTTAAGTATTTTTTTAAAAATCTGCATAACATATCTTTCAAGACACTGGATATTTTAGGTTCAGCAAATGAAGATGTTAACTTTTTAACTTGTCCAGGATAAGCAAGTGCAGAAAAGCAAAATAGAATTGAAGCACAGAAGAAAACAATTATTTTTAGATGTTAAAGTATTTCACAAGGGAAGAGCCAGGAATTTTGTCATGTTTTTTAAAATCAATATTAGCCTTGAAAATTCCTCTCCACTTCAAAGTGTGAGAAAACAACTATTCTGCATTTAATATTCTTTGCCTCATTTTAACTTCAATTATTTTCAATATCCTTCAGATAAAAGGTACCACCATTCATAGAAAGAGGTTTTCCTCTAGACAGCAGCATCATGTCGCCTTTCAAACTTTAAGTTTGTAGTTAAACAACTAATGATAATGAATATACAACAAGGACCTTACCTTTTACACCACCAAATGGACCATAAGTCATATTACAAGCAGTTCTCTGAAGATTGTGCTCATACATCAGCTTAATCTGATACTGGTTCCCATGTTCCACATTTCCCAGAGTTCCTACAAAAAATGAAGGGTATATATTTATTACTTTGATCCACACATTGTGGAAGAAGTAAAGGACTACCAGTGTAAACAACCTGAAAAAACTGTAACTTAATCCTAGTGACTTTGAGATGTGGAGGCTCACCCTGTTGTGATCAACGATGCAAAGATAAAAGACAAATAAATGCTAACAAAAATAATTTTGTGATATACATCACATTCTCCAAAAAAGGTCTTCATGAATTTTAACTTCCTGACCCCTTCAGGGAAGGAGAAGAAATTCAAAAAGTCTTTTGTAAGGAAACTAAAGTTAAAACTCACCTTTTAAGAATCAAAAGTTTTCACCTCGTGAATAAAGTAATACTTAAAGACTAATATTAGCAAGCAGGAAAAAAAAAAACCAAACCTCTGTCAATAGTCACATCAGCTGGGAAAAAAGTGTTTTGAGTGAGTGATACATAAGCTAAATCCTACCACAGCTTTACTATACAAAGATTATCTCAACACTGTCTTTAACAACATGTTATGAAAGATTTGTAGCTTATGCTAACCTTTTAAGCAATTTTTCCAACTAAAATCAAATATAGCTTTTAAACAATTACCCCTAAATCAGGCCCATGTTAGGGAAAAGATTGGAATAGACATGAGGGGGAAAAGCCCTGGCTGAGTAGTAACTAGATAATCAGCAACACTTGATGAAAAACAAGTTAGAAAGTTGTCAGTCTGTGTATTCTGCCTCTAATAAAACATCCAGGCCATACTTCAGTCAGCCCTGAAGTATGCTTTCATTTGTTAAGGAGAAGCAGCATAGTTATTTTATTATGAATAACAGATACAGTACCATGTATAAAGCAAGTAAAGATTCCGCTTTATGAAAATGTAATTTGCCATGGAAGCATAAAGAAATAATGATAGTTATTTCTCAAAGGAGCTTGTTTGAGAGTATCCATTCAGATGTCAGAAATTACCACTAAAGCATGCATATTTACAGATTAGTATGAAAAGTCTATTAAGGATTGCAAAATTTTACTTTTATTATTACTTAACTGCTTAAGCCATGCAGACCAAACAGCAAATTATACCTAGCAAAGAATTCTAGACTTGCTGTTGTATGCCTTGAATGCAAATTTCAAAAAAAAATTGTTTTAATAAAAATTGTACTGGTAGGCTACAATCCTAAGACATAAGCACTATTACAGAGAAGGGAAAGTATGAAAACTGCAGTAGATCTTGAAGTGGCACCTCTCAACAAAGACCATTCTTACAGGTGTCTCCAGATAGGCAAACAGAATTTGAAAATAGAGCATGTGTTTGTAACGTATTTGCCTAAAAGGCTGTGAATAGGAAGCAAGCTGCTCCTACAAGAAAACCATGCTCTTGTAATGACAGAGGAGCCACAGATGTCCCTGCACAGAGAAAATTAACAATGCCATATTGCCTATTGAATTTGGAAGATGAGTGTACAATTAATAGATCTCTTAAATCTGTGCTTTGCTCTAAGCATATAGAAGACAGAAATCAATGTACAGAATAGGTATTTTGTGACTTGCCTCTTCACACAGAGAGAACACATCATATAGAATTTCCAGCCAAAGGCAGTAGAGGAAAGAGGATATAAGAAAAAACACAGTGGTTTCACCTTCTTACCAGTATTAACCTTCTGTCTTCTCATGGGCTACCTTACCAATGTTCTGGCTTTTTAAGAAATTACCTGGAGTTTTGATTTCAGAAATAGTTGTAATTATTTATTTTTAAAGAGCTAAGTAAGTTGGCATTATACAACCACTTGTTCATTAGCATGTTCAACAGTAACATCCAGTCCTAAAATTGTAATGAGAACTAGTTGTTTACAGTCACTACCAACCACAGACTATCACAGACATCACAGCATGTTAGCCACTGAGCAGATCAGCAAACCTCTGTTAACCTCTGGGAAATAGCTAGACCTAATTACTGATGTTTCCTCTTCATACATGAGTTTGAATGAGAGAATGTGACTGCAGATATTCAGGGATGATGAGCAAACACTGCATATACCAAGTTTACCATTACCCTAATCCAAACTTTAGAATACACTTAAAATCACTGGAAAGCTTGGATCTGTAAACTAACCTGAAACAGCATATACACAGAGTTTTCGGCAATGCAACACAGCCAGATGAAGTGCTTCAGTACCACTGTAAAGAAGGGTAAAAAACCACTATTTTTAGATCAATTCGAAGTAAAATTTATACAGGATAAAATTCAAGTAACATATTGAAATTGCTTTCATGTGTGGACCAAATGCAAAGGTTTGGGTGTTAGATGCTAGCATAAAAAAGTACTGATCTTCCTAAATTCATGCTGAAGTATTTTGAGTTAATTTCAAAATCAAAATGAATCCTTTAGGGACATATTTTCAGATTGAAATATCAAGAGCAACCCAGTTTAGCTCGAAACTCATTTCAAACAAGGTGCTGTTATTCCTTCATGGAAGGATGATATGAGGATCACCGCTCCAAACAAGTCTTATTCAGCAACCACAGACACTACTTTTTTTAAAATTCACTTTTGTACTAGCTGCATGGAACATCTGAACACTCACATATTTCTTTCCTGAACCCAAGCAGTACTTCCAGCAGGGAAAGTACCTGTGCTGTAACTCTAGAAAATGTTTTAGTTCATTTCACAGAGCAGGGTATTGGAATTCCCACACAGGGTCACTCCATGAGCACTTGAATAAAAGAACAATTTCCAAAGGATGGAGGCCTTCCAGCTTGTGCCCTTTGATCTCAGAGCATGAGTCTTTCCCATGTTTAGTACAGGTTTTTCTCTCATTTTTAAAATAAAGTTCATGATGCAGTATTAGAAGTCAATTTCAAAATTAAAATGCATCCTTTAAGAACTAAATTCTAAAATAATGTTCTTCTAAGTAGATTCCCTTACAGCCAAATAAATGTAAGGTCTTTTCCTTAGAGCCATAGTATCTTTCCTCTACCTGGCCATCTACTTCCACTAAATTCTTTGGAATTAAAGATCTTCTGTCCTCTGTCCTCTATCAAAATGAAAACAACTGGCCAATATTACATCTTAGATCATAACAAGTTAGTCAAGTTTTCTTAATACCTTAAAAGATAACTTTCAATATAAAGTTTTTCCTGTTCTACATGCTCCTAAAAAATTATACAAGTATCTGGCAGATTATCCTCCATATATACCTTAAGTAAAAATTCTCTCATATCAAGATGATGTAAGAAGCAGATCAAATGCATACTACAGGACACATAGATGTAATTAATAGTTGTCCATCTGAAAACTGGAAACTTGGCCTCCAAAATAAAGGAAGAAAATCACATCTAAAACTTTAAAAAAACAAAATAGCCAGCCATTTACTTACGAAACAAATTTTCCCACTTCCACCTGCAATATTGGTTCTCGCAACTGCACTTCCAAGAGTAAGTCTTCGGGCTGTACTTCATCTCCAGGTTTCACAGGATGTGGATTAAAGATTCGGAGGTATCCCATATAACTGCCCACAATAACTTTATCTAAAAAACAAACAAACAAAAAAACCAACACAAAGGATACTACGCAATACAGCAGCACATGTGGAATTCAGTTTGTTGCAGAAGTGTTTCAAATAATACCCTAAAAAGATAGTATATTGACACGATTCAATTAATGTTGATTATGCTCTGTCTTTTAGGTTAAGATAAGCAATTATCTCTTTTGCAGATTCATGAAAATTTGTCAGCAAAGGATTCAATATGATTATCATGGTGGTGGCACGGACCATTGTTACTATTCCATCATTTTAGACTGATGTCCACAATTCTTAAACACTCTCATTCATTTTGAAGAGTACTTCAAACTTTCAGTTTATACATCTTAGATTTGTGCACACACATATCACACCAGCAGAAGTGTGGAGTGTTAAAACTGGGATCGACGGCATTTATCCAAATGCAAACTAAAGCCTGATAAATACTGCCCGAAGTCAACAAAGCTAGGCCTTGAGATTACCTGCTCTTGAGACAGATCCATTATCTCAAAGATGAAGGAAATGGTCACATTAGAGGTTTTTTGGAATTGGTATTTTAAGCAAGTGGTCATTTGGTTGTTAGCTGAATAACAAAAAACTATTAATGAAAAAAACCCCAGAGGTGTCTCTCATGATAACAATCAACAACTCAAGTTGGTTGTCAATACTTACTTCCTCTAGATATAGGTCATCATATCAATGCAGATCAAAATCAAAACCAGTAAAACTTGTCCACAAGTCAGGAGAGCCTTACAAGTACCCCTAAACCATGTTGACCAGACTCTAAAGTCTTTGCATAGTTCCACGGGATCCCACATTAAAAGCTCAGAACAGTTGGTTGCTTTCTTTCTTCTTCAGCCACAAAAAAATCTTGCCCGCTCCAAGTCCTTCATTCAGAAAATACTGACTGCCCTCCCCACTCATCTTTTCCTGAACTCAGTAACAAGGATTCCATCAGCAGTAAACTAAATCCATTCTATGTATTAATTTATTAATACTTAAGTTTAGGTGAGGACATTTTCACCTGCTTTAGACATTAAGCAATTGATTAACTTTTATTCCTGAACGCTGGAAGAAAAAGAGCCTAGTCTAATCAACAAAGAGAAAATGTAATGTTGAGGAAGTTAATAAACCAGCAGACTCTTATTCCCACAACACTGTTTTAAGTCCTGCTTTTATATAATTATTTTTTTCCTTCTAGGAAAAGACTATTTTGAACTCCAGCAGAATTTTGGGGGTTTTGACAATGATACCAAGCCAGTGGACAATAGATGGTGTACATCTGTCTTAGGGGGGGGAAAGGATCTTAGCTCAGGAGTTAGAGGTCTTGTTTAGAGAGCTTTAAACTGCATTCGAAGGAGGAAAGGAAGAAAGCCAGGATCGCTAGAGATAAGCCTGGTGGTGTCATGCCAATGTTTAAGGGACGGTGTGCTAGTGAGATCCTTCCATCTGCCATCTCAAAGGAGGCAGGGGATGGACATTTACATGGCAGCAAAGGCTCGAGGGTTATCAACGTGCTAGAAACCACAGAAATGCTTGAGAACAGTCACAAGAGAATTAAGACTTCACAAAAAAAGGCGGCAGGATCAATAACGCAATTCTACACCAGTGCACACGGTATGAACAACAAACAGGAGGAGCTGGAAGCTGCTGTGCAGCTAGAAAATAATGACATAAGTTGCCATGACGGAAACATCATGGTAACTCTGTGGGATGACCCATACAACTGCAGGGCTGCAGTGGATAGCTACAAATGCTTCAGAAGGGATAGGTAAGGAAAGAGAGGTGGTAGAGTAGCCCTGTATGGTAGGGAGTGTTTTGATTGTCTAGAGCTCAACAATGGTGATGATAGGGGTGTTTATGGGTAAGAATCAGGGAAAAGGCCAGCAAGGCCTTTCATGGTGGGAATCTGTTATAAACCACCCAACAAAGATGAGGAGACAGACGAAATATTCTATAAGCAGTTGGGAGAAATCTCACAATCACTGGCCTTTGTTGTCATGTGGGACTTCGACTTAACAGATGTCTGCTGGAAATACAGCAGAGGAAAGCATCTAGGAGATTCCTGGAGTTCGTGGAAGATATCTGCCTGAAACAGCTGCTGAGAGAGCCAACAAGGGAAGGTGCCCCACCAGACTTGTTTGTGAACAGAGACGGATTTGTAGGTGCTGTGATGGTTGGAGGCCATCTTGGGCACAGCAATTACAAAATTGTATTTTCAATTCTCAGAGAAGGAAGGAGGGGGTTCAGCAGAACTGCTACCTTGGACTCCCAGAGGGTAGACTTTGGCCTATTTAGGAGACTGGTCGAGAGAGTCTCTTGAAAGGCAGTCCTGAATGGTAAAAGAGTCCAGGAAGGCTGGACATTCTTCACAAAGGGAATCTTAAAACGTATAGGAGTAGGCTGTCCCTGTGTGCCAAAAGATGAGCTTACAGGGAAGAACACCAGCCTGGCTGAACAGCGACCTTTGGCTGGAACTCAGGGAAAAAAGCAGAGATGACGACACTCAGAAGAAGGGGCAGCCCACTCAGGAGGGCTACGAGAATGTCCTGAAGTTATGCAGGACAAAAATCAAAAAGGCCAAAGCCCAGCTAGAACTTAATCTGGCTACTGTCATAAAAGAATAAAAATGTTTCTATAAATACATTAGCAACAGAAAGAGGGCCAACTAGAATCTCCATCCTTTATTGTATACAGGGAGGAACACAGTGACAAAGGGCTAATGCACTTAGTGCCCTTTGCTTCAGTCTTTAATAGAAGAAGAACAGTTGTTCTCTGGTTATGCAGCACCCTGAGCTGGAAGACAGGAACAGGGAGCAGAATGAGGCCCCCATAATCCAAGGGGAAATGGTCAGCATTCTGCTACGCTACTTGGACACACCGAGGTCTATGGAGCTGGATGGGATCCACCTAGCTGGTGGAAGTGCTCACCAAGTCACCCTCTATCATTTATCAGCAGTCCTGGCTAACTGCAGAGGTCACAGCTGTCTGTAAATAAGCAAATGTGACACCTATCTACAAGAAAGGTCAGGAGGATCCAGGGAACTACCAGCCTGTCAGCCCTACCTCAGTAACGGGAAAGGTCATGGAGCAGATCATCTTGAGTGCCATTACACAGCACATATAGGACAACCAGAGGATCAGGCCCAGCCAACAATGGGTTATGAGAGGCAGGTTCTGTTTGACCTGTCTGATCTCTTTCTATGGCAAGGCAACCAGCTTAGTGGATGAGGGACAGACTGTGGATGTTGTTTAGCTAGACTTTAGTAAAGCCTTTGACACCTTTTCCTACAGCATTCTCCTGGAGAAACTGGCTGCTTGTGGCTTGGACTCGTGCACTGTTCACTGGGTAAAAAAGTCACTGGATGGCTGAGCCCAGAGGTTAGTGGTGAATGGAGTTAAATCCAGATGGTGACCGATCACAAGTGCTGTTCCCCAGGGCTCAGTACTGGGGCCAGTCCTGTTTAATATCTTTATCGATGATCCGGACAAGCGGACCAAGTGCACTCTCAATAAGCTGGCAGATAACATGAAGCTAGGTGGGAGTGTTTATCTGCTGGAGGGTAGGAAGGCACTACAGCAGGATCTGGACAGGCTGAATCAATGGGTAAAGGCCAATTGTGGGAGGTTCAACACGTCAAAGTGTTGGGTCACAACAACCCCATGCAGTGCTACAGGCTGGGGACAGAGTGGCTGGAAAACATCCCATCGGAAAAGGTCCTGGAGATGTTGGTCAACAGCCGGCTGAACATGAGCCAACGCTGTGCCCAGGTGGCCAATAAGGCCAATGGCATCCTGGCTCATATCAGAAGTGGTATGGTGAGCAGGACCAGGCCAGTGATTGTGCCTCCATACTCAATACTGGTGAGGCTGCATCTTGAATACTGTATTCAGCTCACCATAAGAAAGACACTGAGGTGCTGGAGCATGACCAGAGAAGGGCAACAAAGCTGGTGAAGGGTCTGGAGGTACAACTTAGATTGGATACTAGGAAAAATTTCTTCACCAAAAGCATTGGAAGAAACGGACAAGGGAAATGGTTGAGTTACCATCCCTGGACATATTTAAAAGACATGTAGACGTGGTGTTTAACGAAATGGTTTAATAGTGAACACAGAGTGCTAACTGTTGGACTTGATGTTAAACATCTTCTGCAACCTAAATGACTCTATGAATTTCCACTGAAAAAGGCTGTACACCAAATAACTAACAGCTCAGCTTTATTCAAATTCTTTTGAAAAGGGACAATCTAAAATTAAAATAATTAAAATAATTTTAGAAGAGTATGGTAGTAATGAAATCAAACTCAAGTAGCTTTACTGAGCAAAAACAGAGCTCCAAGGTGAGCATGAGTATTTATTAATTTAAAAAACACACACACAAAAAACTTTCCCTGACAGCAAAGACCATTTCACAGTATTAATGACTACATAGAAAAGCAGGGTTTACTCAAGCAGAGTCACTTATTGCAATTGTCACTTATTTTCCAGACTAAAAGGGTTATTTGTTTTTCTAAATTCTTAGCTTATTAGCTCTTACCTTCCTTTTTTTTTTTCCCCTTAGGTTTTTAGAACAGCTTGGAACATGTTTGCTTCCATGACTAACTGAAAATGTTTTATTTTAAAGATATCTACCACTGAGAGAATAAGACATGAGAGAAATTACTAGTGAACACAAGCAAGGATTAACATGTTTAGAAACGTACAAATATAAAAAGACAGAGAGCACTGAATTTGTCTTCTTAAGCCTACAAGGACACATTAAAGACAGCAGACTTTAACTAGCCAACTAGCCTGGCTAACAAGCTTTCAGGTCAAAGCAATCTTGCAGCTGAGTGGCTTACAAGTCAGCAACCACATAATTCTGAATTTACCTTGTCCACTGCCACTATTATCAACATCAGCAACACACAGGCAGCCTTGGTCAAATTCTTCCTTTTCTCCAAGTACGGTGGACCACCAGTCTCTAGCTTTAAACAAAGACATTCTTCTGTACTGAAAAGGAAACAAACCATTGTCAAAAGTGTATACTAATATATACACACCTGTTTATACAAACAACTTCTCCTTTGTTCGTAAGTATATTACAACTCTTAGCTTCACACTGCACTAGTGTGAGCTGAATAAACATTAACTCCAGCGTAGTTCAAGAAACCACCCTAGGAACCTTCTTGTCATTAGTTAAATTAGTTGTGACAGAATCTGCTAGTTACACGAAGAAAATGCAACAAAATAACAGCTATTTAAAAAAAATGCGAAAAGTCTTCTGTTACAGCCATTAAGTAATAAGAAGTTTTCAAAGTCACAGAACTGAGGTTCTCTGTTACCAAGGAGTGTCGGGAAAAAAAAAAATGAGGCAAATCTTCTGCAAGAGAACTTATTTTTAGAAAAGTAAACGAAGGCATAAACAGACATCATCAAAACCTCCACCAGGTAATCGCCTTGAAGATGCTCTAGTGACACGACTAAAGAACTCGGTCACGCAGGGCACAAATCAGCTTTTCTGCTCCCTACCTGCTGTTATTTTAAGAATGGGGGAGGGAGGGAGCGAGGAGACTAATCCTTTTGTAGGCGGCTTGACAATACCGTTATCCTAGTTCAAAACTCACAGCCCATGTCCATGAACCTGGACGCACTCGATCCCACAGCCCGCAGAGGAGCCGAGGGGCATCCAGCCAGCAGCAGCTCCAGCGGGAAGGAGGAAAAAGGACGGGATTCGGAGCAAACGCAGCCTTGCAAGCCCGCGCCTTTCCTCTTTAAAGGATACGACGTCCAGAAAATTAAAGCACTTCTTTATTCCCTCGGGCGGCTCCCGTCGCTATGCCCGCTAGGCAACCTGCTGCCGCCGAGTGCGGGCTGGCACAGCACAGCCCTCCCCACACACCCCTCCTTCCCTCCCTCACGGAGCCCCTGTGCGGCACCCACAGCACCGCCGCGAGCCCCGGACACACACATCCCAGTGGAGCGGGACAAGGGAGACAGAGCCCGGCGGGGGCTTACTTGGGCGGGAGGCACAGCGCAGTCCGAGCCGCCCCGGGGCGGCAGCCCCGCTTCCTCACAGGTGCTCCTCGCTCAGGCGCGGCCCGAGGCGAAGCACAGAGAGACAGGGCGGCAGCGCTACAGCCGCATTTCCACCGCCGCCGCCATCTCCAGCATCCTGCTCTCCCTACGGCCGGTACCAGCCGCGCTCCGCCCCGCGCCCCACCCAGGAGGGAGCTTGGGAAGTGTAGTTTGGGAAGCGGCGCCGCGGGCCGTTGGGCTCTATCATTTCTTCCTCTGTGAGGGGGGGGGTGCAGAGGGAGGAAGAGAGGCATTCCTGTAGAGTTTCCTGAGCAAGGAGGGGAAAAAAAAAAAACAACTAACTTCCCCACAGCTTGTGCTTTTCCTTTTTTCAAAGACCCTGACAGGAACCTCTCGCCCTCGAGGCGGCTCAGCTCCAGCCGCCTCTTCCCCTCTCTCCGCCCCTCCCTCCACCCTTTCCCTGTGGTGTGGTACGGCCGGCGCGGGGCCGGGGCGGCGCGGCGCGTGTGGCGCGGTCGTTGCCGACCCGGCGGTCTGTGGGGACGCGCCGGGATCCCGCTCCTTCATCCACGGACGGGCGCGGACGCGCTTCCCCCCGCGGCTCTCGGGACCCACTACCATGGACAGGACCGCCGTGGCCAAGATGGGAGCGATGGCGAGCGCCAGCGTGTGCGCGCTGGTGGGCGGGGTGGTGCTGGCGCAGTACATCTTCACCATGAAGAAGAAGACGGGTAAGAAGACCAAGATCATCGAGATGGTACGTGGTAAGAGGCCGAGAGCCCCTCGGCCGCATGCCCTTCTCCTTCTACTTGTCCTGCGGCCGGCGGCTCCCTACGGCCGCTCCCGCGGGGACAGGCGGATATCCTGAAGGGATATCTGAAGGGGCAGAGGGGGGATGTTGTGCCCGGTTTTGGATTTCTGTAAGGACAGAGGTTGGACGCAAGAACACCTGCGGTTCCACCACAGCGTGACCCACTAGCGTGGAAAGTGCTCCGTCCTGGCCTGTCCTCTCCGGCCCATAGGATACATATGTACCTGTGGGTCTTGGTGGTGGTTTAAAAGCCTGCTTGTAACTTGCTTAAAAGAAAATTGGGACGTGCACACGCACGTGTCCAACCATCTGTTGAAACTGGGAAGCACTGTCTGCTCACGGTTACTATAAAAGGAAGGTGGAGCGAGCTCGCTCTCTACTGCCCTGGTTAAACTTGTTATTTAGGGTACTGTTTAAATATCTGCTAAATATCCATAACTGGATGGTAAACGGTCTTAGTTTGGACAACATGCTGATTGTGTGGAAATCCTTCAAAATCAGTGATTTGCACACCACTGTACTGAAGAACTGAACTGAAACCATCGAATCGGTTGGTGTTGGCCAATGTATCTTTTGTGCTCTCCCCTGCAAAACTTTACTAAACGCTCAGATTTAGGGTTTTTTTAATTACACACGGAAACATGTTTTGCTAAGAGCTAGGATTGTGTATGTAAATTGTGAGCTGCCTGACTGCTGTCTTGGCCATACGTTGCCACACTTGCCAGTGGAATTCATACAGTGCAGTTTATGATAACGTGGGTCCAAGGAAGAATTCCACTGTGAGTTTTTGCTAATTATAGAGTCATAATTCTTACTGTTGAAAAAAAATATTGTTTCTAGTCATCAGTCATGTCATTCAGCAGTTTGGAGGCAGGTGCATTACTTTTTAGTTTCTCTGAGCCCATTTACAACAGGTAGTACTGTAATGCTAAAACTTACTTTTTAGTTATGTATGTGAACAATAAAATAGCAACATCTAAAAGCCTGATCACATGAACACTCAAAAGGCAGATCCAATAGTTTCACTGACTCCTATTCACAATACCTGATTTGAACTGTAGTTCAGAAAGTGCCTAATAATTGCTGAAGACGTGTTTATATTAACTCTCTGTAGAATGTTTAAGTGGTGTTTTGGCGGGGAAGAGCTAAACTTTTGTTGCAAAGATTTTGCTTTTGATAGGGGAAAAAATGTTAGGCCAATGCTAAACTGATTTCTGGTAAGTGAATTTCTAAAGTATGTACTTCAGATAACATTTTCAGAGCACTATTGTTGGACACAAATCTGTGATCCTAAAGAGATACTTCCAAAAATTTTGCTTTTATGATCAGAACTTTTCTCAGCTTTAAATTGCAAGGAAAATGTTAAACTTGTTGAACGCATGTCAGCTTTCTCATGCAGAAACCTTTTTCTTCAGTTGGATGCAACATATTAATACTATCTGCTCACTTAACAAGCGAGCACGTCAGCCAGTATTCAAGTTGGTAGCTTCCTGAGCTAACAAGTACCTTCAGTTCTGAAGATGCAAGTCTTCTTTCTTAAGTAGTATTTTCAGTAGACACATGCGTTCAGCCTGTGCAATTTCTTCAAAGTAAGTGAAATAGTTATGTAACTTTTATACTCAGGAGTTTAGTTTGTCAAATAAGGGCAAAAATGTGTTTGTGTGTTTTATTTGAATATGCTGCATTGTGAGAAGCGTCCTGAAATAGTTTTACCCACCAATGTAGATTTCATTCAACATCTGTCATTTACAGGACACTGTATCAGTTTTATTTTATCTCAAGAGAGACCTTTCTATGAGCTGTGGGGAGAAAGTGCTGTTTTCCAGTCTGTATTTAGCTAGGTTAGAGTAGTGGTGAGGAACAATACTGTTTTATTGAAATGTATTTTTTCTAATACATGAGGCGGATCTTCTGTGTTAGATTAAAATTATAGGATTCTTCTTGAATTTTCAGCAGATTTTTTTGGTTTAAGTTTTCTTCAGGGAACATTGCACTTTGGTTTTATGCTCACCTTAGACTCAGAATTGCCTTGCTATATAACTTTTATCAAAATCAGTAGGGAGCAGGCCAGTTTACACTTTAGTTATGTGAATTCTCGCCAATGAATTTTTTTTTTCATTATAATTAATTACAGCAATTTTTTTTTACTTTTTTTTTTAGTTAAAATGAAATTAGATTAATATAAATGTAAGTTAAAAATTACTTATAGCTGTCTTTAAATGCTAAAAAGACAGTGACTTTTACAAATCAAATATAATATCTGTAAGACAAGAAAGTATCAGGGATTATGATGCCGAGAATGTTTGATGTGAAGAAAAGCAGAAAGGATTTTCAATCATTGTAGAAAAGAGTAACCATGTTTCCTTGCTCAATAATAAAAATCAAGAAATTCTTAAATGTCTAGCTCACATTTCAGTGGATGATTTCCTTAGCACAGTAACTAGCCTGTTACACAAATTTAAGCTTAATGAAAACACCTTAAAATTACTGCATCTTATTTGAAAGAAAAGGTTTAAGTTTGAAATTAAAGTGTTAATATTGTGTCTTCATCAACCATCTGTAGTTTGCAAACAGGGAGTTTCCCTTAGGCACTCATGAATGTAGACAGAGTTACTTCAGCTCCACTTCTGAAGTAACAGAGGCATTAATAGTAAATATATAGCCAGTCACATGAAGTTCTGCTGGGTGTGTTAAGAAACAACCATCTCTCAAAGCCTTGTGTATTACTTTGCACAGCCAAATTGCCAATTCTGTGAAATTATCCTAAGTGTTCCCATAGTCAGGTGAAGGCAAAAGTGAGCTGCAAGGTTGCTAACTTTAATTTAAAGGGATGGTTGATAATTAATTAGATTCTGAAAGTAACTTTTTAGATAATGTTTCATGTCTACTTTAAAAAGAGATTAAACCTTGCAATAGCATTCAATCTTTTGGATTTTTCAGGTCTCAGACAAGTTTTCAGTGAAGTTGTGGATTCTGGTATAGCAAATAGTTGTACTGACAATAGACTTCAGTTTCTTGATTACCTTTTGCAAAGCAGTTTGAGCAGTTAAGCACAAGACAGGTGTTCGCTAACTAGAGTGAAAAATGTTGCCTGAGACTTTCAAAAACACTCACCTGTAAGGAATAGCCTATGTTAATTGAAATATGGGGTTAATATAAGAAAAACTTCTTAATGAAGTAACAGTATTTTCTGTTTCCTGTTTCATACACAAAGGTGTTAGAACCCTGGGTTTTTTTCAGCAGCTTATTCCTCACTCTTTAATTTTGGGGCTTTTTATTGCATTTCTCTTATAGGGATGAGAAACATAATAGAGCTGGTTGAAAACAGAATAGCAGAATACCTTAAACTGAGGCTTCCTCTCCCAGGTTTCCTTTCCAGAAAACTGGGAAGAGATTAGTTACATTTGTCTGTTTCTCCGTTCTCCCCCTGAAGTGAGGGGATGTAATTACACCAAAAAGAGACTTTGTATCTAGTTACAGCAACAACAAATTAAAAATCAACTTAAAAGCAATGTCTGAGTTTACAGGAAACGTTTCAATCACCCATTCTTGAATGTCTCTGGACAGTTTTCATTTTATCGTGTTAGGGGAGGAAAAGAAATGCATGGATTTTTGCATTATTAGAGTTTACTTGGAGAGAAATAAGTAAACGAATAAGAAGAGAGGTAACTGCTATTCATCTGCTTCCCTAAGAAATAAAGGAACAAATTCTGTGCCTGTTACAGGGTTTATGTGGCAGGTTTGGTTTTTTTGTTATGATTACTTTCTTTTACTCACCAGTCTCTGGTGAGACTAGCTTCTGGTTTCAAAGGGCATAAGAGCATTTGTGCCGCAGATGACGGATACAGACCCTTACAACTGGCAGCAATCACACACCACTTTACTTCTTTATTCTTATCTCATTGCTTGTAACTAGTTGTTATAGTAACTTCGACCTTACTCCAGCAGGTTGACCTCCAGGTGGAGGATAAAGTAGAGGAGCATGTAGTGTGTAGCATACGTATTTGAGAATCTAAATGGTTAGTGTTTGAAACTCCTTCATACGGACTTTTGCCTGTACAAAGATGAAGAGTTTGAGCCTGAGTAAACTGGAATCAATAAAAGGGGAACAGAAGGAAAATGGACTGTCTCTAAAGGTACCACTGCAGGACATGGTCACTGTCTGAGTATTGCAGTGATAATATTTAAAATGTGACCTTGAGAGCTATCCAGTGATGTGATCCACATGGGAATAATGCTGTTCAAAAAGAATGGTGCTGTGAAATAAACCTAAGTAGTGAAAAGAACTGCTGAAATATAATACTGCCCCTACCTATACTGAGAGCCCTTATATTACTAGTGACTAGCATATTAGAATAATTTTTAGGATATTTTTAACATTTTTAAACCAAGTTAAATCTGATATGACTGCTGGAGATGCCATATAAATATTTCTATAAAACTTGGTTTTGTTTAGACTGTATTCCTCAGTAGGAATACACATTGACAGTGATAGACACCAATTACTAAGACAAGGTTGTGTTGCCCACAGGTAGTTTGCAGAGATAATAATAATATATGCCACTTAGAGAATGCATAATGTAAGTGTGCCTAATATAAGCCACCATGCATAATAGCCACCTAGAATGTGGCTTGTAGAACAAGTTTACATGGAGCAGAAAAACCTTAAGCACAATACATGTTGATACAACCTACATACTAGTAATAGGTTTTTATTCTCGCTGTAAAATAATTCAGTTGGAAATTTAAAAAATGTGGGTCCTTGGAGAATAAAAATTGACTCAATGCCAGTGTTTTCTCCTCTTATTGTTAAGAATAAAAAAGTTGTCTATTATACAGATTATGTACATACTAATATTTTACTTAATTAATATAATAAGCTGATCCTACAATTCAACTTTCTGTTTCAGAAGTAGGTTT